ACAGAAGAGAATATTGCGTCTGTTTCTGAGAGTGTTGCTGAAGACCGAGAAATGTCGATTCGTCGCCGTTCGCAGCAATTGGGTTTGCGAAACACATTTCGAACCGAACACTGATTTTGTGAAAAGTGAAATTAATTGTTGCTTCTTTGGAGTATGCATGCATATCTAAAGGTATTTGATTTTTTCGAACCTACAGTACGTATATGTAAATCTCACAATAATTAAGGGGGAAGCGAACATATCGACGTATGTGTGTATGTAATTAAATAATGAAACTGAATTGTAGTTGTTTTATTGTTTCTAAAATTAACTTCTCATTTTTCTTAATGAATATGTTAGCAATTGTCCCCATTGCCCATTTTACTCCTTCAAAATTAAGTATGTATTTGAAAAAAAGGTTTTATATAATTTAATTTTCATTACGTCTGCCACAACGTTCCAATAATTCACTGCGACTTGCTGCGCTCGCTCAACGCTTAACAAACATACGGAAATTACCGCGCGCGCGTTCTCACTGTAACACCGACAATCAGAGACTGAAAGAGATTCAACTGAGAAAAAAGCGTTGTAATAAGTCTACATCAAGTCAGGGATGAAAAAATGGGTACAATTGTACGTTTTCCGGAGTTTGATGACTTAAAGGTACATTAGGTACCGTCACTATATTTAAGGTACAATCTTTTGATCAGATGCATTTCTAATTTTTTTTCTTTTTCCTTTACCGTGCTAATTAATAACTTTGCTTGTAGGCACGGGAGTAATTTCGCTTTCATTTTAAAGAATAAACAATTCTAAAGAAAAGTGGCCAAAAGGAAGAAATTAAAAAAGTCATATTATGTATTTTCTTAAACATTTTGCATTTAGAGCAGCCAATATGAAAAATTAACAGTTTACTTAGCTATCCTCAAATTCGTAATTTTTTCTATCAATTTTGACGCTTATTTTCACTAAGTCAAATTCAATGTCATTTGCGGTCAAATGAGTGAAAACAAATTGTCAAATGGGACTAAAAAATGGTTTTTGATTGATTTAGATCGGCGTGTACATGCGCTGCTAAAGCGGCTATTTGTAACTTTTTGGCCCATAATATCATCGATAAAGGCATGGGCGTAGCCAGGTAGGGGCAGGGGGGTGCTCGAGCCCCCCCCTAACTTTCAAATTTTCCTTATATATATATAAAATAGTACCCTGAAATGCCAGCTTAATAGGGTCGAGCCCTCCTCCCCCCCCTAAATTTCATTCTGGCTACGCCGATGGATAAAGGTAGGGATAAAGGAAAGAAAGATGAGAACTATAGCTTTTTGACCCATATTCGCTTTTTGATTTCTGGAAATATATTTAAAATATTGTAGGTGTTCTGAGAGGGCTCTGCTTTTCAATTGCCCACCGAGCCCAAAGTAGCACCTGTTGGCGAGAGCTATTCTTCGTTTGATCTCCAGGCTGACGTTGTTTGTGGTGTTTTTCGGGATCCTAGGTAGAAAAAGTCCTTCACTACTTCAAGGTATATCTGCCAACAGTGACGTGTGTCCCGAAACGCGTGGACTCCTTATATGTTGCCAGGAGGTACTTTGTCTTGCCCTCGTTCACCGCTGGACCAACCTCTTTAGCTTCTTTTTCTAAACTGGAAAATGCTGCGGTTACGTCCCTTTGTTTCAGACCTACGATATCGATATCATCTGCATACGCCAGCAGCATCGTTCTTTTGCGATATATGGTGCCGCTCAGATTGGCAGCTTGGCAGCCATACATACAGTGGTCAAAAAATTATAGCCGAACCGCTTTTTGCCAAGTTTTAACGTATTATTTTTGTTGTTATTGAACTTTTGTTATTTTTTTTATAAAAATATAGTTCATTCTTTAACAAAACCCGTGTTAATCCAAGTTTCCAAATTTGTGCAGTATTAAAAAAAAATCAATAAACTTTCGTACAAGTTTCGAACGTTTTAAAAATTCTAAAAAATAAATCGAATTTTTTAGCCATTTGAAATTGTACTTTATTCCATTAGAATTCAATGGGCTACAAAACTGCATACTCAGAATTTAATTAAAAACCGCGAAATTTTAACGAAAATTTGTTGAATTTTTTTTTTTAATTGAATAAATTTTTAAGGCTGTGACACTCGATTGGTTCATGTGTACATTTTTATATCGGGCTAGTGGTAAAAATAATTAAATAACAGCAAAAGTAATATTTTAAACTTGTGAAAATTTGGTGCGGCTATAATTTGTTCCACTACTGTACATAAGTTTACAATGATTACTCGGCCGTGCGATTGTCGATTATATTTTTTGTTGTTTGTGTGAAATATTTTGTTTTTATCGGTATTCTTCTTTCAATCAAAATATGTTGAAATAAGTGAAACTAAAAAAAAATGCCAGAACCCCCCCTCCCCCCACCACCCAAAAAAAAATCCTGGCTACGGGCCTGGATATAGGCTCAGGTAAAAAAAAAAACCTAATCATGTTTAAAGTACAACCGTCTTTTGTATTCACGTTTTAAATAAGATTAGAAAAAAAACTACAAATGAAGGATGTAACTTTTTTTAGGTACAATTTGTCTCATTTAGGTACATTTATTTTATGGTATTTGGTACAATCTGATATTTCCATTTTTCATCCCAGCATCAAGTCTGCATTGTATACGGAACGGAAGCGAGGGGGGTTTGTTCGACAAAGTACACTTAGATGGCAGTTAACTTTTTCACCACTCTGCGTGAACATAAAATATATTTATTTACTTAACGCCAATTGGCTTGGCCAATAAAGAGCGAAAAAGCAATGAACACAAAAATATCATAACATAGGTATAATTAATTAACAATTGCATGGAAATAAGTAGGAACCAACTAACAACATGCATGCTCCAACAACATGCATGGGGGGGCTAGACAAAAAAAAAATTCAAAACCAATAACTTATTTACTAAAAAATTGTTTATTAAAGTTTAAAATTATTGTAACCAATAGAGCTAAATACGTTGTATAAAAACACATAATCAGAAGTTCACAAAAGTTGATATAAAACCATTCGTCGATTTAAATAGTTAACTTTTTACTGCGTATGTTTATTTTACGAGGAATTATCGAAAGCCCAAGAATGATAGAATACAATATTGCGCCAATCGAGCTGAGAGCAACTGGGTGTGACGTCACATTATTTTGAGAATGAGAGTGTAAAGAATAATTTTGAAGAAGAAGAAGCGAACAAGTGGTGCGAAATAGTGATGTAAAACTAGGTTGAATTGTACCTACTCTTCAGCTTCTTAAATTTGAACGTACATTCGATACAAGCACATTATTTTAGGTACATTTGGAACGTAGTAAAATATTGTTTCATGTAAGTAGAAAAATTGTTATGGTACAAAAGGAAGATGTAGTCCACCAACTACCAAAAATATATGCACATAAAAATACATGTTCACTGTTTAGGTACGTGTATCCTCCTTTAGGTACAATATGAAACTTTAGTATTCATCACTAGTGTGAAAAAATAATAATGTGACGTCAGCGAGAGGGTGGATGCTGTCAAATCGGGAAAGAGAGGACTAGCAGTCCGCGGAAGGCGCCACCTTTGTTTCGCTGCATCGTGTCGAAAGCCTAACCCCGTCAGTGTGAGACTTTAACCCATACTAAACTTCCTACCGTTCCCCTCCCGGTACCACAGTCAAAGATTTCGTCTGGATTATAACACTGTGTGACTGATAAGGTTATAGTTCTATTCTCTTCTTATTTGGCGCCAAAGCGATTTTGGCCGAGTTCAACAAAGCACGCTAGTCGTTTTTCTTCTGTGCCATACACCAGCACGGCCATGATGAGTGTCTTATAGAGTGTGGTTTTCGTACGTCGAGAGAGGACTTTACTCCTGAATTGCCTACTCAGTCCAAAGTAGTGATTCTGCGTTGGATTTCCATGCTGACATTATTATCGTTGCTAATGCTGGTTCCCAAGTAAACTAAATTCTCTACTTTCTCGAAATTGTAACTGTCAACAGTGACGTGGGTGCCAAGACGCGAATTGCTGACTGTTTGTTTGATGACAGGAGATACTTCGTCTTGTCCTCGTTTACCACCAGATCCCTTCGCTTTGCTTCCTTATCCAACTTGGAAAAGGCATAAGAGACTTCGCGGTTTTTGTTACCGATGGCATAAGCCAGCAATTGCACGCTCTTGTAGTAAATTGTTCCTGAGCGGTTCAGTTCTGCAGTTCTTATTATCTTCTCCAACATCAGATTAAAGAAGTCACATGAAAGGGAGTCGCCCTGTCTGAAACCCCGTTTTGAGGTGAACGGCACGGAGAGATCTTTCCCAATTCTGACGGAGCTGGTGGTATTGCTCAACGTCATTTTACACAGCCGTATGAGTTTTGAGGGGATGCCAAATTCAGGCATAGCGGCGTATAGGTAACTCCTTTTAGTGCTGTCAAAAGCGGCTTGAAAGTCGACAAATAGGTGGTGAGTGTCGATCCCTTTCTCGCGGGTATTTTCCAAGATTTGGCGTATTGTGAATAACTGGTCTATGGTGGATTTGCCAGATCTAAAGCCACACTGATAAGGTCCAATCAGTTCATTGACGGTGGTATTCAGTCTTTCACACAATACATTCGATAAGACCGTGCAAGCTAAATATGCTTAGAAGGCTGATCCCACGGTAGTTGGCACGCATGGCGGGGTCGCCTTTCTTGTGGATTGGGCAGAGCGCACTTGAATTCCGGTCGTCGGGCATGTACCTTATTAGCTCCCTGCCATCGTAATTGAATAGATCAGCTGACAGGCCGTCATCTCAAGCAGCTTTGTTACCTTTCATCAGCATAATCGCTATTCGTACCTCGTCATAGTCAGGCGCTGGGATATCGACTGCATTGTCATCGACTGGGGACTCGGGTTCATCTTCTCAATTTCTGTAGTGCTTCTGCCATTCAAAAGTGTCGAAAAGTTTTCCCTCCATTATTTGAGTACATTCTGGACATCGGTCGCTAGGTCGCCATGGTTGTTCCTACAGGAGTCTTGAAACCATTCGTAAGTCACTCAACTCTGCTAAAAATTTCGGGTGTTTTTTCTGTCGGCCAGCATTTCAAGCATTTTTGTCTGCAGCTTTTTGACAATCCTCGGTCCTCCTGTCGGTTTGTTGAAGATTGCTCTCTCACAGCAGGTGTGAGGTTTGATTGGAGATTTTCGACGTGGACCTTTCAACTGCATTGTTGGGGTCCCTTTTTCGCTGCACCGAGGTGTATTGGCTGCATCAATATAGTGGTGCGAGTCGATGTTTAGCCCTAGGAGTGTACGTGTGTACATCTAAAACACTGGAAGCATGCCTTCCGTCTATCACAACATGCTCGATTTGGTTTCCCATTTTTCGATCTGGAGACACCCATGTAGCTTGATGAATCTTTTTATGCTAGAACCCAGTACTACATACTGCCAAGTTTCGGGATACCTCGTCCTTGTTTTGCATCGGGGCATTGGCACATATGAGCGAGATGTTAAAGAATCTCGATTTGATGCGGATTGTGGCTAGACTTTCGT